GTAACACAACGTTTGTTTTCAAAGCTTCACTTGTTCATTTCACTTGTAATTAATTGAATTAAGACGAGCCAGATTGGTTTTTTGTCGAAAACCTTGTTTTCTCAAGAATTTCCTTAATACACAAAAATGTATGCTGCTGGACTTACTTTAGTTCAAAAGGTTTTGCATGGGTTTATCTTCATTGGGGGTACTATTGGAAAGAATTTTGTTTCAAAATACAAAGCGTCAGGGTGAAAAAAAAAGTAACGCGTACATACGAATACTGCGTCAAAAAAAATTATCAAAATATGAAAGACAACAAAAAGAAAGAAAACACCTGTAACCCACGAATATCACCTTGGTGATGTAAACGATGTAAACAACGCGTTCAGGAAGAAAAAGATCTTGGCGTCACCATTTCTAGCAATCTATCGTGGGACTCGCATGTTATGCGCATTGTATTTAAGGCCACTAGAATGTTGAGTCTCTTAAAGAGAATTTGCCCACTTATCACTGACATTGAAGTCAGGAGGACACTGTCTATCTCTCATGAAATCACGGCTTTCCTATGCGACAGTGGTATGGTCTCCTGCAAGTGTCAATCTGAGAGCGATCTTGGAAAGAGTCCAAAGGTGTGCAACTCGCTGCATACAAAGAACTAGAATTGGCAAGATGTCCTATAAACTTCAACTGCTGATTCTTCGCTTACTACCACTAACTTACGACTTTTCAGTCCTCTTTTTTCAATAGAATTAATTGTAGAACCATGGAACATTATCTGTAATCTTGCCCCTCATGACAAGTTTTCTTGTCTAAGTACGTTTAAAAATTTTCTGTGCACCACTTATTTTACTTATACTTATAATTTTACTTACAGTACTTATAATATTGATATGCCCTGCACTTAGTTCCTCTCCCGCAGCTGCCCTTGCCACCGTTCTTAATTTATCTGACCTATTCTACTTACACTTTACCGTGCACTTTTGTTAGTTTTGAGACGCTGATCGTTTTTCAATTTCCTATGCAACTTCCTACTGATTTATTATCAGTTATTATTTAAGCCAAGTACGTGATTTCAAAATCAAAGCTTTCATAAAATTGTGATTTTCACACCTATCTAATAGTTCTAGAATTTTTGCCGCTAGGAAGTTGTTTTTGTTGTGGACGTCACGTTTCTCACAACGCCCTAGTTTTTTCACGCAGCATAGGCAATAAAAGACGACATGCAACTTCTTTTAGTCAGAGATTGTTAGTGAAGTTACAACACTACTGAGCTACAATCAGGGGATCCAAGTTACCACTATTTCGCTGTCTCTCTGCAACCTTTTGGTGCAAGTCGTCAACCAAAGTACGTGAGTTCTTATTGTTGTAGTTATTTGCTAAGTTGTGAATTGTTAGTCTCTTCTTTATCACAAAAAGGTTTCATTTAGTTTATCTACGTTTTGTTGAAATTGCTTTCTCAGGCTCTATTATTGCTAAGGCTTATTGTCAAATATTTTATTAGTCCAATTGTCATACGATTACCAAATTGTGATTCTTTCACGCTATATTTAGCTAGTTTGCAAGATAGCTGTTGATATCTTCATTTGTTACAACCAGAGTTGTTATCATCTCAGTTTTATTAGTTTCAAGTATCAATTGTCACATCTATTTGTTTCACGCTGTGATCTTGTTAGTTTTATCATGATTGTTCTATCCTGTTAGATTTGTATTTTATGCCTTATCTAAGTAGGACGTATTCTTAACTATCGCTTTTCAGTTCAAACCTACTTGTACGACTACTACTCCTATTCGTGTCTGCTACCACTTGTGATCTACTGGTTTTCGCTATTTCATCAGTCGCTACCTATTGTGAACTAGATGTATGGACTTGATCTGTCATTAAATCAGTTTGAATCTACCAAGTGCAGTTCGAATCACTTATCATCTCGCACCGTGCTACCCCTGTAGTTGTTTAAGATTTGAGTAACAAACAACCTCTAGATTCTTTACAACTACAACTATTAGTTATTAATTAGATTTATTTTAATTTTATTAAATTTGATATCTTTTTATCTTTTTTTCTTCATTTTAGATTTAGGGCTGCTCCTTGCATGGGATACTTTCCCGTTTGCACAATCCCTTTTGGTCTTTAAATTTTATTTCTTATCGATTTGCTATATATGTACGTATTTACCTATGAGACCAATAAAGTTGATAGACCTAGACCAAAACAAGTTTTATATCTGAGCAACATATACATGCATTTTACATCTTGAATATGTTGAAATTTTGGTTGGTCAAATTCCAATCCCCTGGGCCAAACATGGCGCTCAAATGCCCCACCCTAGGGTCATATTCAGTGATCAAATGGCCCTTCTCCGTCGTGTTTAAAAAATCACTTGTAGAACAGAAATTTGCATGATTTGGAAATGCTATTTTAACATATTTGACCCACCAAATGAAGCACGCTTCTCTCGAAGACCCTTTTCACAACAGTGACGGTCCAGAGAAGGGGCACCATGGGGAGCAACTGGGGAAATTGTCGACCTTTCGGGTGAGTCCTAACATTCCTTGTATCTTTTGAGCAATAAGGATGGTGAGGGGCATTTACAAGTTGGTTAAGACCTTTTTTAAGTGAGCGGAAGGGGTTCTGCACATGATGAGCTCTGATACAGAACTTCGAAAATGTCTGACACCATAGCCGCAATTTTGGGTCAAGAATAATCAAACTTTACAACACTTTAAAAACAAGCTCATCTCTGGATCCTCCACTGTATAAAATTATTGATGAGTAATGGATCGATCAAGTAGAAACATCAACACCTTCACTGGGCATACTTGGGGCACTTGACTCATTAATGTGTCAAGCTGTGGTAAAGGATGCAAATATGTTTAAGCAGATCTTACATCTACCCCACTGCTTGTGTGTGTGATGGACAATGCATTCACTACTAAGGTTTGCTGTGGTATAGAAATGTAAAAACAGTTAAAAAATGTATTAAGGTATGTGCAAATCTGTAGGTCTTATTACAGATAATAGTCTAACCAACCAGAGATCCATTCATAGGATGCAGAGCTTTCTTTGATTAATGCTACAAACATGGCAACATGTAGCTTAGGGTGATGTGGCAAATGATTAATGGTTAAGCAGTCTAATCAAATGCACTAACTGAAGCATCAAAATGGTTCAGAAATAGTTCCTATGGCTGGGTAAAATTTTGAAATGGATAGATATTAAGCATTTGATCAAACCATTTGGGCAGAGAGCATTGATATTTCGAAAGTAGAGGTTAATAATCACAAGGGCAGAGAAGGTCAGCATTTCAACGATTACACATTTTAAACTAATCACCACAAACTGTAACACTTCACAAACAAACAAACATAAAAAAGTGTAAACCTGTGTATAACACTGCAGAACAGCTGGGCTCTGCAACATTATTATTTAAAATAAATAAATAAACGCTCAATTGTAAATAATTTGTTGCTTACTTGAAGCCATTTCCCCTGTAAGAGTAGCTAGAAATTACTGATTAACTTTGAAACTCACCTTGATTCCCATCAGTTTAATCCCCTTGTCTTTCAGGTGCAAGTGACAGATGGTAGAAGTTTATAATAATTATTATGCTGGTAGCAAAGATAATTCATAATGTAAACTTGAACAGCTGAACACTTGATGTAAAATTGTTAACTAATGGCTGAAGGAGCAAAAATTATTTTTTAAAGGTTGGCAGTGAACTGCTGAAAATCAATGAAAATGTTAACTGATAACCAGAACTACACTAACTGGCTGGCGTATTGATCATGGTACTAGCAGTCAAAGTGAAACATGACTCAACAATTCACCGCGAATGATTGGACTTAGTCAAATGTAAAGCGTGTCACATAACCCAAAAGCCTGATCTTGTGTTAATGCTGTGTAAACAACTCACATCAACAACAGTAGTTTCATTTGAATTCTTGTGTCCCAGTCAGAATTGTTATCCAAATTTCTCAGTCAATTTCTGAGATATCAGCTGAGTTATGGCTTCGAAATAGACAACAGTTCATGTAGGTATATATAGCAACAGTTGCAATATAAAATGGAGTTGTTTCAGACTTAATGCAAATTCAAGGTGTGGCATTATTGTTATTGTTATTTGAAATCACAGAAAGTGCAAGGCAGATTCAAAAGATTCCAGTCTTAACTCTTTGATTTACTGTGTGTACATTTATATTCCACAACAAACGTTTGTATGCACAGGCTTTTTGAAGGTTCATTTTCCTTACAAATATATTAAGAAACTTCCCGCCTGAGAGATTTTGCCATTTCTAGACATTCAAAGGGATGGATCCAATGGATGGAATTTTTTACCCTTAGAGGATAACCAAATTGCTCTAAACATATGGAGAATGGTAGCTGGAGGTTTCACACCCAAGCGATGTCACACCCATGGAGTTAGCACCCACATCAACTCAACTAACAATCAAGTGCTTAAAATTTCTCTGTCTCTTACTGAGCAAAAAAGACACTGGGGGCACAATGAAACAAAATCACGCAAAACATGTTGATTTGTTGTTCTTCAATGCATTGAAGGTGAAGGCAAACTCGAAATACAAAGTTTCTAATGAGTTCAGGGGTGCAAACTTGGTGGATGTGAACTGGATTGGGTGCGAAACAGGTTGTACTCCAATACCCAAGAATCAGGCCATCCAAAAAAGTGAATATTTATTTTGCAGGAATGGCCAAGATGAAACTCGCTCCCTTTTTTTACTGGTCACAAAGGAATTTTCTACAGTGAAAGCGTGACTTGTGTTTGTTCTTTGAGTTCTCTGAGTGCTTTAATTTGCTCAACGAAGAAACAACTATTTTTCCAAAGAAACCTTTGATAAAATGCCTTGAATCTTGTTTTGTAAGAAAGAATTAGCAACTTGTATATATGGACTTTACTCGTGTAAAATAAAATATTAGTTAGGTTTTACGTGGATATCCAAAAATAGAAAGTTTTGATTAATTTTACATAACATGATATGTGAAATAATCGTCAACATTCTTTCAGAGTGCTAGATGTGATTGACAACTACGAATCTCAGCTGAGTGAAATGAAGCACGAACTTGATCGTTTGAGGAAAGAAACAGAAAGCCACAATTCCTCTGTTGGTAGTTTTGGTGATATTCAAAGTGAGCGAGCTGCAGACAGTGGAGAAGTGTCTCAGTCTGTGAACAGCAGTATTAACGTCAGTAGTGATGCGGTCCTGTCAAGTAATCTGAAGGGATCTGAAGGGGAGTGGTTAAAAGATGGAAAACCTGGTACATCAAGGGAAAGCCGATATCAAGCTATGGAAGAAAAACTACTAGTAAGACAGGTATTTGTCATATATCCCATGTCAATTTCAAAGAATGTTTTCAATTGGATATTCATACACATTACTGCACAAATTTTCTAGCGAACTTTTTGACCAGGATGGAAGTTCACATAACCATTTTAATTACTTAACTGCAAGTGAATATAAATTATGGAATATCCCATATTAACAACTTCAGACACTTACAGAAGTGCACAATAAAGTTGACAACCATTTGGCAGTAAATGGGACTAAGGTTGTTGGGTGCTCCCTGGTAAATCTAAGGGTGGCGGCAACACACCCTGTAAATAGGTACGTGACAATAGGAGTGGTAGCAACACACCCCGCAAGTGATGGATGAGCCAACAAGTGTGGCGTGTGCCACACCTGGCAATAAGGGATGAGCCAACGAAAGTGGCGCATGCCACACCCGGATAGATATAAGCCTCAGGTGGCCTGCTACGTGAGAAGCTAAGTGGCAGGTGTGCACCCAACCCTGTAGTCCAGCTGTTTATTGATAATGGGCAGAGAAAATACAGACAAATCGCAAACTAGCTACTTGCACTAGTGAGAGTCATGACAACACCAGGCGTTGCTCAGTATGAGAACAGGTGAGCAGTAATTATAAATGATAACTTGATATCGTTTATCTTGTATCCATTACACATAATAACAGAGTTTTGTTTAGGCTGTCTGCATCCCGACAGAAATCGGGATCAAGCATATAAGGCAAAGAAATGAATAGATCACAATTATTCTTGTTGAACGTAATTGTTATTGTAGTTCTAAGGACAAAATAATATTTATCTCACGCACATCAAAGAGCAATGTCTGCTTATGTAAATGTCTTTCATGACTTAACCACAAGTGTTGACAGTTGTTAAACCTAGTCAAACATTGATTTGCAGTATAGTATGACTAAAGGAATGATACACACGTGTGATATCCATGCAACGCTTTAAGTTGTTACCTCTATTTTACAAGTAAAATTACCATTTGAACTGCAGAGAAAGATGTAAAGACATGAATGATCATCACAGTTATTAGCACAGCTGAAGGAGCTGTGAAGAAAAGCCTGCAAAATTCAAGCTTGAATGGGAGTAGTATAGGAGATGGGGGTATGAGACCATTTTCACTATGACTTGATACTGCCCATCTCAATACCACCCATCTACACTATTGCGTGACATTTCTCGGAAAGACTGGAAGACATTCTCAGAAAGACAAGAAGTTGATGATCTCATATCAGCGGGACTTTCCCTCGGAAATGAGTCATGCAATGAAAATTTTTCTGACGCATTAGAAAATAAAATATAACAGTAAAGAGGCTTTTGCTCTGTTTTATAATGTCCATACGCATAACTTGTTATTCTATTATTACAAGTATGTATGAATCTCTTATCATCGAAGCATGACAGTGATACTTTGTTGAGCTCATAGCTTCCTGTATCGCTTCGAATTGCTGTCATTTTGTGGTACATTTGCTAGGTATTGAATAGTGTGTTTTTATAATCGTCATATTGAATATCCTTTTTTATAACAATCTTTTTGATGCCTTTGGCTGTCTTCCTGTTTTCGTTATTGTCTTTAATATATGAATATATTTTACTTCTCAAATCAATAAATTCTTTTATAACTGCACCAGCTGCTTCATCCTTGAATTTACCGATGACTTTTTTATTTGTTTCATCATAGAATTTACTATCTTTATTATAATCACTGTTGTCAAATTTATTTTTGTCTTGCCAGAAGTCTTCATACACATCTTCTGTTTCTATTTCATATGTTAAACTGTCAGTGTCTGTGAATAATAATTTTGCTTTGTTACTGTATTTTTGTTTGATATAATTATAATGGAAATTATACATCAATGTCCTGCTGAGATCAAGAATAGACATACCTACATATGCTGGCCTGTTTAGGGTTAGTGTTTCTTTGATCTTTAATGTACTGCCATAAGATTTTTGTTGAATATTTTTGATGATATATAAGTCGGTTTTCGATGACATTTTTAATAGTTTATTTTTATCAGTTACAAGTCTCACATCTACTCTTTTTCGAATGTTTTCCATCGTCTTTCCAAATACTGAATTATTCATTAGTTTGAAGAAATCTTTTTCAAATGAATTGTTCACTTGAGTTCTTTTTTGTGTATTGAAGTCGATATACTGTTTCAGCCATAGAGATTGATTGAATTCTAATGCTCAATGTACTTTGGTTAGTTTTAATCCTAAATCCATATACAGTTGTAAATTTCAATAGTGAAGAACATATTTATTTTTGTTGCTCAAGGTTGGAATCAGTTTTTTTTACTTGTCTGATTGATATGTTGTATTTGTTCTTGATTTTTTGACAATACTCTGACAACATATTTTCAGTTAAATTCACGTGCTCAGGTCCAAGAGGATAATCATTATGAAGATCATGCAGCTCTTTTGGATATTCGAGATCAACTTCTTTTACCGTCTTCTTCATACTTTGATATATCAAGTTTTTCGATTTTCTTCCATCTGAAATTACCAGTTGGTAGATACTGGCTCACAGCCCTACTGTACAGATTGTTTGCGTCAAGATACATGATGTATTTTGAAGGTGCTTTGTCATCATAAGACTTCATGTACTTGTTGTTACATACATACATACACACACACACACACANCGACAACTGCGCCCCTAGTATTGGGCTGGCGCACTTTCGACAACTGCTGTTGCGTTACAGACACACATGTATAGTGAGGGTTCAGGTCGCAGCCGAACGCACACAGTGCAAGCGTAACGCAACTCTGAATCTTCAGATGAGGAGTTGCGTTACGCTTGCACTGTGTGCGTGAGCACTGCGCCAGAACCCTCACTATACATGTGTGTGTTTTTGAAAAACAACCAGAAAAGTCTAGAAGACGTGATTTAACCACAGAATTTTCAGCTGAAATCCATTCACAATGGAAAACAGGTTATTTTTGTAATAAAACAGAAGGTTTACAGTAGTGATAATGAATTCAAGTTACAATTTTTTTGCAGCTTTTAGTTTTTTGTAACATTTTACAAATGTGGTATTTTAAATTTTCTCTCACCAGAAGAGTGGTTGTGATTAAACAATCGATAATGGTTTTGTCAGTGGTAAATCAATAGGAAGGTTCATTAAATACAGGTATAAGGTTAAAACAACCAATTAATTTCCAGTGAGGTAATTAGTGTTTCCAAATGTCTGTTATTTTAAGACAAGGTGTTGATTTCAGAGAGAAACGGTGAAAATGCTGTTTGTTGTTTTCAAGTTTGCGTATGCTGATGTACTTTAAACAACACGTTTCACTTGATCCGGAGAGATGCAAGTTTATTCATTTCTTTGCAGCTTCTAGGATCAGCAGAAAGAGTTTATTCACCATCTTTGGTTTCGGGGAACTAGGAACTTATCTTTTGCGGCTGTGTTTTGCAGTTTGTAGGATCTGCGGAGTGTCTTTAATTTCAGCGTTTAAAAGAAGATTTTCATTGTGGATTGTGCTTTATGCAATATTGGATAAATTTGCGATCACCGGCAAACTGATGATACGAACACATCATGTATACATACAACTTTAGATCTACAAGCAAGTTGCACACGTGATAGGTCAAGGGTCAACAATAAATTTACGTATTGGTGAGCGCTGTTTAGCCCAGACTTTTTGCTGTCTTAAGGTGAATTCAATAGAATGGGCACTGTCAGAGCAGTGTATGCGCACTGAAATATCTGAACTTATCTGTGAAATGTGAAATAAACTGTATTGGTGAAAGTCTGGATCCACCACTGGATATCTCTTGGGGACATCTATCACAATATTCTTTTACATTGTTTTATTTCATAAAAATTTTTAAGTCTCACTTCCGGTCATTTCGAAAAGTAAACAAAAGGGAAAAAGGTTAAATGCATTATTCAGTTCAAAGAGGAACAACTGAACAAAGGGAACAAGTAAGCTTGGACTCTCAAAACCCAACTATGTAAAGCTACTTACAATACAACTACTTCCCACACAGGTTGTATGTTACTTTTACTTTTAATTAAGTTTAACCATCAGCCTGTCTGTTTATGTTCCAATTTTCTTGGAGCAATTTTAGAAAAGCATATACACGTCATCGCTTCTGCGTGCATTGCATGCCGTCTATTCCAATTCCATGTCAGGGCCACATTAGTCAATAAGATATGGATATTAAAAACAAAATATGTTTTTTCTTTCCTTTCATGGATTTATGTCAGTTAATCAAATTAAGGGGAGTTACTATTTCTTAGAATGTGTACCTACTTCCATGGTTGTTTGGATTGTCAAGGGTCAAAGTGCAAGTTGAAATGGGTTAACCTGAAGGCAAAAAAGCCCTCAGAAAGTGAATGCAAGGGGAAGAAAGTCTGATATTGGCAAGAAAGATGAAGTACAAAAAAAGAAATCAAGAAACCCACGATACAGGAGCATTATTAAATTTGCTCACACATCCAATTACCAAACCCACCTGATGGAGTGTAGCTTTGGTGATTGGACAAGAAGCCATACTCTCCTTGTGGCAACTGTAGTTTTTTGCTTAGGATGCATCTAACACTTTCTTCGAAATGACTCATTATTTATTTTTTTACCTTCTCATTTAATTAATTTGCATTTTGGTATGCTGTCTCTATCGTACATTAAAGAAAAAGTCATTGAAATGTATTATATATTTTCAGTCTGCAGAAAAGCAGGTAAAAGACACCAAGAAGTTGATTAAGCTTCTTGAGAGTGAAAACACGCATTTGAAGTTGGAATTGGAATCCAGGTAATTTGAAATTTATTTTAAGTTGTGAATTGCTTAGTAAATCTTAGGGTGCATTGAATTGAGCTTATAATTGCAGAAGTTTTAATAAGTTTTTCAGCAGGCGGGCATTAGGCTATGACCACTGGGCAGAAAAAAATATAAGGCCCAAACGGCTTTGCAAAGGCAGGGGGAAATTTTTGGAATCCTAGACTCACACAGATGCATTTTCCTGCAATTTGGAGTGCAAAATCAGCACCACTAAATTGGCTACAGGATTAACTAAATGATATTTTGATGCCATTGACTGAAGGAATAAATCAATTTTCACAATCTTTTACTGATTACATAAAAAGACAGTATCTCAAAAAATTTTATTTGGTCTTCCATAATTACACTTCAATAGGTTTCTAGCAAAAGCAAACTCGCAAAAGTTCTTTTATTCTCTGCTTTTTTCTAAATACTGTGAATGGTGAAAAATGTGCCATTGTCAAACCACGTGAGCAGAGTTCTGCGTAGACTTAACAGTGTACATGATATGCGAGTGACCTTTTAACTCAATACGGCCACCTCGTTATTACAGCCACTTTGTTCTGGCCCAAACAAAAGTTCAGTCAGTCATTTCTTTATTTAAAGAACCTCTTTAATGTTGCTACCCTGATAATATGACCAGAATTTTGTGGCCCATTGGTGACCGGATTAACAGGGTTTCACTGTATCTGTAATTTTGTCACTTTCCAGGCTTTCCCACTTTATAGACGAAGAGCCAGGAATAGAAAAAAAAGAACATTCTCAAGTATATTTTGGAAACTATTTTGCTATTTTTAGTACAAATTTATAGCAACGAAATGTGAACTGTCCACAGTAATTAGATCAATTTCACGGTCAATTTCAGATCATTTAGTCTTGTGGGGAAATGCGGAAGTACATTTAATGTTTCATTTTGTAAGAAAAAGGTTTTCAACAAGAAGACAATACTAATCTAAACAGGCTCTTTTGTTGAAGTTTCTTATATAAATAAGTAAATAATTCACTTGCCCTAAGCAAAATTACCCACAAAAATCTTTTTACTCCTCACTTCACAGCGCTACTTTGACCCAAAAAATAAATAAAACCCTTTCAATATATTGTGACTCAAGGTTAATTTCACATGAAACTCCACTTACCTCTGGGCCTTTTCTTTGCCAGAGCAGAAAAATATTGAGTTGTCTGCGGCATAATTTTGACACATAGCAAGTGGGCTTTCGTGCCTAAATATGTTTCCACAATGCATCATGGGGTGAATTTGCAGGCCAATTTGAAGATACAAAGGAGATAACAAGTACTACTTTTACCGGCAAAATCATGTTTTGTACAACTTGATATAAGCTTAATTTTTTAGATGACTGTTAACCTCAGGGAAATAGCATAGGACAGCAACAGTACTATAGAAATTATTGGTGAAGCAGCCGGGAAAAGTTCCCTTCACAACCGGTCAATTTGCGTGGTGCCCAGTCCTTAATGAAACCCCTGTTGTAGGAGTTATAGACAGCACATCTTGAATAATTAGCTAATTCTTTTTCTGTTTGCTGTTTGTAAACTTACCCAGCTGCAGTCATACTGTGTACCCATCCTTATTTTTGGATGGTTACACAGTATGATCCTTATTTTTGGATGGTACTATGGGATACAGATGTCTCTAAGGGAGAGCAAACCATGCCAAGTTAGTGAATTTAAGCTAACTGTAGTGCCATTTTTGGTGCAGAGTGCACTATTAGGATGGTTTGGGGGTTGATGTCACTAAAGCACTATGGCACTATGGCACTATAGCCATAAGGTGTAAACTTTCATGTTTGTATAATTAATTTCAATTAATAATTAGGCTTGCAGCAAGGGGGGTAGGATGGGGTAGGTACTTGTGAGCACTACATAAAATGGGTGGTGTATGTACCTATGTTACTTCCTTGAGCTCTTCAAAAAGCTATTTATGTTTCACAAAGCCCCTTGCTCTCCTTGTGGTACTTTTCTCTTTAGAACTAAACCAATATTTGCTCTAAACGCATGTGCAGATTAATAAGCGTTAGTGTCAACTACATATCAGATGGGAAATACATTTCATACTAGATCACACACTAACATTGAGCCCTTTTCCATGTGGTAGAACCCTAATAAGTCATACGCATGCATTCTAGCATCGTTAGCACGATACAAGAATGCTACTGTGACTGCGTTTCTTTTGGGATTACGCCTAACTTGGTTCAAGAAATATCATCTGCTGTTTCGAAACTACACTAGTGCGTTTATTTCATTCTTTAATTGTCTCTATCAAGGAGAGCAAAATGTTCATACCTGCAGCCGAAACTCTCCAGAGTAACTGGCACTAAAACTTGTCAAATTGTACAAAAACTCAGGAAACTGCTCAAATATTGCTGCAGACTCCATGGTATCTACTGAAAGCATAAATTTTTATCAGTCTCTGACAGGACTCGTTCACCGATGTAAGATATAATCTCAATCAAGTAGCGCTGTTTACTTTCAATACCTCTCATTGAAACGCTTCTCAGTTGTATTAATCGATATCAGTGTGTATTTTAAAGAAAATTTGCGTGTTAAATGAAGCAAATCATTCCTCTTCCATTTCTTCTTCCGAAATTCAACTTTCTTCCCGGAAGTTTGAGTTTTGTCAAAATTTAAATAAATTACACATCAGATGTCTGCTGCAAAGAGGCATACAACTCTGTTGGAGGTTTTTCAACCCCCACAAAAGCAACAGCATAAAGAGACAGGTATGTCCTGAGTTTTTTTTAGTCAGCTAATCTTAAAAAAATGTTTCATTTGTTTGTCACATTGGTCAGCTAAGCCAGATCGCTTTAATATTTATTTGTCGCTTTGGTCAGCAAAAAGCAAAATTACATTTCATTTATCCGTCACTTTGTTCTCTGGTTTCTGTGTCCACAAATGGGTCCATAAATTGCAGTCCATCCAGGGTATAATGAAACTAATCTTTTATTTTATCAGGCTTAATTAATTCACATGGTTAGGAGGGGGACATGAGGATTTGCG